AATTTTTGGCCCTGTCTAGCTTTGATCCTACACACAAATATACTCAGTGACATCAACAAACTGAACCTTTTACTTTTTCTTAAAAAAATACATTTAAAAAGATTTTATTTATTTTTACACAAAGGGGAAGGGAGAAAAAGAGGGACAGAAACATCAATGTGTGGTTGTCTCTCACTTGCCCCCCACTGAGGACCTCACCCACAACCCAGGCAGGTGCCCTGACTAGAAATCAAACTAACGACCCCTTGGTTCACAGGCTGGCACTCAGTCCACTGAGCCACAACAGCCAGGGCTGAACATTTAATTTTCTAGAGTAACCCTTGAAAAAAACTAGTATCTCAGCCTTCTCTTCCTTTTTCCTTTCTTCAATCCTTGTGGAGACTGAGGAAATACTGTTACACCCTTCACCATACCACTGGAAGAGATTTGCTCTGCCCACCCAAAACCCCAAATCTCTAAGGCACCAACTATGAAACGTAGTCTTCTACAAGAACAATCTCCTAGGCAGAAGTCATGCAAAGCAGGCAGCTTTAAAACTCTCAAGGGCTTTGGCCATGCAGGTAGCTGTACAAGGCCAGTCTCTGGTTTGATACCCAACCAAATTAAATCATTGCCAAATCTGCTCATTTATTCATTCAACAAATCTTTACTGCATGCCTGCCCTGTGGAACATTCTGTCAGGCACTGTTAAGAATCCAGGTGTACTGGAATAAATTCAGAGGTCACTAAAGATGGCTCTAAATCACATCCTATGAGGAACAGTTGAAATAATCAGAAATGGTTAGCCTGAAATAAGATTATGGAGAACACAAGAGCCCTATGCCTAAATATTTAACCATTTTTCTTGTGGAAAAGCGATTAGACTTGTTTTGCACAAGACCACAGAGAATTCATATCAATGGGTGGAAATCAGTGGAAGGAACTCATAGCAACACCAAGAACATACTTGTTAATAGAGCAATCTAAAAAGAGCTGTTTGGGAAGAGTAGAAGCCTGATCAGCAATATTGGTACCTGGCTTACCTTTATAGCCACTGCATATCATACCCCTAAATAAATCCTATCTGACCACTTCAAGTTAAATCAGTAATTCTGCCACCCCAAGGCAATCCCTGCTAACTCACTAGCACATGTCCTTTTGTTTCTGTGCATTAACAGTGAAATTGTAGCACATACACAATTTTACATTTTTTGAAAATTATTTCTCAAAGCTATTTTGTACACTACCAACATTTACCAAAGCTTTCCCTCACTGTTGGATATTTATAGTTTAGTGGTATTAGCGGTCCTCCACACACACTACCTTGTTTGAATTTCACTGGCTGTGCCATCTTGGGGAAGATATCTTTGTGCCTTACGTGCCTCATGGGTAAAGTGGGGGTTGCACCTTACAGAGCTGTACTTAAAAAGCGATTCAAGTAAAGCAGTCACGATGCCTAGCACACATCCTGCACTCAGAAATTTAACCAATTTAGGTAAGAGCCTAAAAATCTGTTCAGAAAAATGGAGAGACTTAGAAATAAACCAAGATTACCAGGTGTCTTTCATCGAAAATAAAGCTCTATCTAGCACAATCTCGGAGTGGGTAGGGACTCTGAACCTCTGACCTGTTTTACAACTGTGAAAGTTGTGTATAAACAATTCTTGTCCTTAGACACTCAAATTCTGTGTGGTAGATATTGACTTCCCTCCCCCATTGACAAAGCCAGTTTTACACATACTTGTAAATTCATTTCCACATCCCTGATTCACCTATGTGTGATCCTTTGAATTCTCCTTTAAACAAATTGAAACATCTAAACCGGTTTCATTAATTAATGAGCTGAATGAAATCTTGGCCACGACAGGTCCTTTAACAGGTCCCATTCAGCCCTAACTTAATAGTTCAAGGGACCCAAGCCTAAGAATATTATCAACCATATGATTGTTGGGGACTACTCTGTGTGGTTTCCAAGTCTATAGCCCCACGAGAGCAAGCCCTGAAAGGGCCTAGTAAGTCCCCTTGGAAAACCAGGTAACGCAGGGGGCAAATATGACCCGACTCTTAACACCTCAAGTTCCCATGGGAACCAGGCCTGATAAATATATCGTATCCTTTCAAGCTTGCTCTGCTTTGCTTTGTAGAGCCCTGGTGATATAAACAGGATGTTTAAGCTCAGGGCATAAGGAGTAGACTCCTTATCTCATGAAACACATCTTAAAGACCCTCTGATGTCAGCATGCCTAACAGACCCTGACCCATGACAGATCTCTGTGTTCCTTCAATTGTTATCTATAGGTAACACCTGTTTTTGAATGACTAGCCTTTTGACATTGACTAATGAACTATGCATGCATGCTGTATACACCTACACATATCATTCCCAATAAAAGCCATTTGGGAGAAGGGCTTGGGGCATTCTCCACTAGAGGGAATCACCACCCCCTTTCCTGCCAGAACAGTAAGATTGTGTCTGGAATGATTTATTTCTCATCTGCAGACGGGAGGAATTCTGCCAGCTGGAGTTCCTCTCATATACAATCAACTATTAATATACAAGGCTTCCTGCTGTGTTATAAATATGGGGGAAAAGTCACGATTCCTGCCTTCATATTAGTTGATCTTTAGAGACAGGAGATACAATCTTTTAACCTAACAATGTGTTCTGGGTATTAAGATGTCGGACAGATTCAAGCTCCAGTACAGTTGATTTCCTTCTAACTTGGGGAGGCTTTGGGGAAACAGCTCTTAAGCCTGTTTCCTCTTGTACCTGATAAGGATATCTACGGAAATATATTATGAAGCTTGAAAAAGTTAATACCCACAAAGCACTAACATGTCTGCTATGTAAATTTTACAAGTCTTTATCAGCAAGTTCCTCAACCCCTAGCAGAAAAACCAGACTACCTCTCCACACCAGCATCCCCACCTACCACCACCACATATACACAAAGACGTGTAAAGGAATTTGCCCTTCCACGTTCCCTCAGGTAATGCACAATTCCTTACAGCATTTACACAAGGCCTGCCTGAACAAGTGACCCAAGACTCTCATGCCCAAATCAAAACTCACAACCTCTACTACCTAAATCACTACATGTGTAAACCTCGAGTAACTCACCAAACTTTTACATTTGCCCAGCTAACCAGCTTCTCACCTCTCATCTGCAAGATGTTCCATTCCAATACCAGAAACCTTACCCTCTCCTCCCAATATTCCTTCCACTTTCTTACTCTAATTAAATGCTGGCTCTTCCCTAGACACTCCCCAGGAGCAATCACTGCTTACCACCATCTATTCCTGGGACAAAGGGTAAGGAGCAGTGGATTGACTATGAAGCTCTTAAAACTTAAGCTTCAGGGCTATACCAGCCCTTTCACATAAGCTATACCAGCCCTGGCTAGTATAGCTCAGTGGATTGAGTATGGGCCTTCAAACCAGAGTTGCTGGTTTGATTTCCAGTCAGGGCACATGCCTGGGTTGAGGGCCAGGTCTCACTAGGGGACAGGCGAGAGGCAACCACACATTGATGTTTCTCACCCTTTCTCCTTCCCTTCCCCTCTCTAAAAATAAATTAAAAAACAAAAACAAAAACCTTAAGCTTCAGCATCCCTAACTTTCATGAGCTCCTTCTAAGGACCCAGGAGGAAAATTAGCAATGTTTTTTAAATTTTGCGGGTTTTTCCCCCCACTCATTTCCCCTTTCAGATGACATTGCAATGATAAACTGTATGAGACTCACAGTTGACCACTTCCTGCTTGGCTTCTAGTGTGCTACCTTCTCAGTCCTCCTTTCGCCTACTTTGCAGGATCCCAACCGTTCTTGGAGTAACCCAGAACAATCCTCTTTTCCATGTTTACTCCCTAAAATTTAGATCTCCCCATCACAGGATGAGATCCCAATACCAGATACTAACTCTACTGAGCATGATCAAAGTTTTATTCTCAGTCCCAAGTTCCCATGGATTCCAGAGTTTATATAAAGACCTAGTTGAGAGCTCCACACAGACGTCTGATCAAGACTTTTGAACCTAATATGGCCTACTCTTCCTCAAACCTAATTTTCAGTTTCAGCTCAATAGCAATTTTAGCCTTCCGAATGCTCAGGCCCCAAAATCCGTGGAGCCATCGTTGTCTCCCACATCCAATCCAACAAATCCTGCCCATCTCCCTCTGCAAAAGTCATTGTCATGAGCATGGCAACTACTCCCCTTTGTCCTAGTCCAAGATCACTTGCCTAGACTATTCCAATAGCTGTTTCCCAGCTTCCTCCCTTGTCCCACAAAAATCTATTTTGCCCGAAAGATCTAGTAAACCTTTTTAAAAAAGTTTACAGCACTCTAATTAGAGTTCTCTGAATAAAGCTCAATCAGTTCCCAACTTTCAGCTTCTCACTGTTCTACAACTTTGCTGTTCCTAGAAGGCTCCAAGAGTTCTCCCAGGCAGGACAGACCTCTGCCTATAAATTCCTAACCTACATATAGGCGTGCCCTCTCAGCAAATGGCTTTCTAGATTGTAATTTAATTGTCTACAACCTCCACCTTCAGCCTCCATATGCTAAGAAGTTACTGCTTTTCTCAAGAATTACAGATCTGACAAATCTGTCTAGTTAATCACTGCTCCCTTCTGCAAATATTTGAGAAACTTAGCTTTCTTGTGTTAATTATCCCAAAAGCCAGGACCGCCACCTCTGGACTAATGCACAGAGCAGATTTTAGTGATAGCTTGTTTCTCCAAATCATTTTTCAACAGTTTTATTGTCCCTGCCCCATCTCATGAGACAATTTGTCTCCGGTTATATGCTGGATGTTCCTTAATACAACAGGCATTTTACATACCAAATGTGGCTTTAAGCATAAAAACAAAACTGGCATTTACCTGAGTGAAGGATGAATACTTTTATAACCAGGGGAAAACAAGCCACAAATGTCAAAGATAAATCCACTGAGAATAGTAATTTTTTTAAAAGGAGAGTTCTATTATTATGTGACTATTCCATTCACATTGAAACACTCATAATTGAATTTTTTAATTTTATTTTATGTACAAAGAGCTAGCCATTCTGCAATAAGGTAGATGTCTTGTCTTGAATGACCCATTGAAAGAAGTTCACTTAGTCCAACTGAAAAAAAGAAAAAGAAATGAATTAAAATGCTTTAAATACCCATTTAAAAATATGTATACATTTTACTCACAAAAATTGATGAGAATAAGCCTTAAATTGGAAATGTAGCCTGCCCTAACTAGCTATGAAGATCTAAGTAGTTAAAAATATTTACTGTATGACTACTACAAGCTGTTCCACAACTCTCAACAATTATACTTTTGGCTTAATTTTAGTATTGGTATTGCCACTTCTTCCCTCAAAGAAATTTCCCACTAGAGAAACACCACTATGTGGAACTATCTTTACAAAAAGCTCAAGATGGCAATTACACAGCCAGTATTTTGGTACTCAATGTGTGCCAGGCACTGGTACTCAATGTGTGCCAGGCACTATACCAAGAGCTGTTCATCTTAGCCTCTGAGAGAAGGCACAAAGCTAGGGAATGGGCCAGAGTTCATTATCTCATTTGTGATACCCTACCTCCCACTGAGTTACTTGAACTTCCATATTAATATCAAGAATATACTTGTTAAGTTTTTGGCCAAGGATAAAAGCCTAAAATAAGATACTTTGTCTCTGCCACAGAATTCTCACATTAACGATTTACTATTAATACATCACCACAAAGACATCTATTTTTAACGAATAGGTTCTACTCAATATTCTAAACAGATTATAACTCAAGCCAGCGATTACAACTCAAAGAGCCAATAAAGAATTAGTTTGCATTTAAAAAAATAAAACCAACTCCTAGTAACTACTAGGAATTAAGAAAGCTTCGCATATACGTAAACAATTTTTTGTAATACCCTATCATTCCTCTTCCACAGGTAGAAACTGAGCTTTAAGTGAACTGACCTTTGCCTGAATCTTCACGAAGTCTATCCGGCCCCAAACCTCAAGCTCACTCCAGTGTATAACACTAGCCAGAATTTCAGGGCAGTGGTCAACACACACATATACTATGTCTAGGCACGATTAAAGATACCTACAATTCCATTGTAGTGGTTATGAAAAGTGAATTTCATCCATCATAATACGTGGCACCTTAAACTGACAAAGAGCTGGGGAAAAAGGGGTTGGAACCGTCACCCTCCCTTTTCTATTGGCCCGACTGCCAAAACTCTCAAGTGTCACCCGCTACCCAAAACGGGAAAACGGTGCTAGTCGACTGCTCACACTAAAGAGCGACCCCCACTTTCGCCGCCCACAGAACAGAAGACCACGGCGTCTCCGAATACGCACCTTAATGAAGCCTATATCCTTCGCGTACTGACGGAAACACTGGCGGCACATATTAAGGCCGTACTTCCGGATCAGGCCGTGCCGGTTTGAGCAGACGCGGCTGCAAGAAAAGAGATGGCATTACGACAGATCGCAGAGATGAAAGGATTCCACACTCTGGGGGCCACCGTCCGCACCGTGGCCTTCACGGACCCATTAGAGATCTGTAATGGCGGCACTCCGGGCTCTGAGTCGGTCTCCCCCTAAACGCCGCCTGCGAGTTCCTCTACAATAGATTTCAAGCAACGTCCCACCCCGGAGAAACGCTTCCTTAAAACCACATTCTATTTCTCACCAAGAACGAGAACCCTGGCCGAATTTTCGCGGATGGCTCCAATATAGCTGTTGATGACCCATGTTGCTCTCTCTGCTGCAACGAGGCAAAAGGAAAGAGTTGGCGCACGCATGCGTTCTTGAAATTTTGGAGACAGTCTACCCACAATGCAGTGCTAACAAACGACGCGTGCGCAATGGGGCTAGACGTTTAGGGAGGTGAATACTGATCTTGGGTTGCGTTCAGGGCCGGCACGGCTAATGACGTCACGAGAGCTAAGCCTCTAATGCAATCTCGCGCCCTCGCTTCAGCGCCGGGCGTGGTGGCGCGCGCCTGTAGTCCCAGCTACTCGGGAGGCTGAGGCAGGAGGATCGCTTGAGCCCAGGAGTTCTGGGCTGTAGTGCGCTATGCCGATCGGGTGTCCGCACTAAGTTCGGCATCAATATGGTGACCTCCCGGGAGCGGGGGGCCACCAGGTTGCCTAAGGAGGGGTGAACCGGCCCAGGTCGGAAACGGAGCAGGTCAAAACTCCCGTGCTGATCAGTAGTGGGATCGCGCCTGTGAATAGCCACTGCACTCCAGCCTGGGCAACACAGCGAGACCCTGTCTCTTTTGAACCCTGAACGAACAAATCTTTAATCCTCAAGAATCAAATGATATTACTTCCTGTGCGTTGCCCGAACCTTTAATATCTTTTCAATTAAAATTATATTTACAAGAAGGAAGACTTTGCCTTAACTCGACACTGACACCTACTGGGACGAATTAACAAAATAACTTAAATCAGCTGTAATGACTAGGACTGAACGGTAGGAGTTTCCATTTTGTTAAACAGTATGTTTTCAAAACAAGTTATTTTACCTAATTGACGTACTCCTCCTAGAAATACACCTAAACTATGCCAGAAAACTGATGCGAAGCTTAGCTTGTTTGGTATTTAAATAAAGCGGATTGAGTTTAAACTGAGAAACAAGTTAACGTGCAATATATTGGCTTTGACCAGATGATTTGGTGACAAAACTAGTGAAAAACAAATGCCGTCTGATAATCTGCTAAAAAATGTCTATATCCACACGATCACTTGTAATGTGTCTAGATAAACAAAGCTGTATATGGCTCCGAAGTCAAAGCTTTAACTATATCTATAAAAGGTAGATCTATAAAATGTACCATGTTGTGTAATAATCTAGAACTGAAATACAACACTTAAAGGTTTTATTTCTTTAGGACTCTGGTGGGATGCCTTTCCCAATCATTAAATTGGGCACGTAACACAATAAAGAAGGAAGCAAGACAGAGATTTAAAAACCTGATATGAGTTGATGTGACTTGATGCCTGCTCTTAATTAAAGCTTTCAAATGTGACGGAAACAGGAGTGTCTCAAAGTCCTTACTTCCATTTTCAACTTTTGTGACTCAGTAACAGCTAAGTAAGCCGAACATTCTGTATTCACTAATGCATGTGCTCATGGAGCACAACAGGAGCAAAGAAAAGAGAAGTTAACCCTAGCTTGGTGCATTTAATGGGCCTCCAAGGTAAACCTTGGAGAGTGAGACTTCTACAGGCAGCACTTGAAAGAAATACCTGCTGAGATGAAGTGTGAGCCAAAGAATGGAGTTAGAGAATGAAGCAGGATAGTAAGAAGCTAGAGAAATTCCTTGACAAATAGAATAACGAAAACTGAGACAATAATTAAACAAGGCAAACAATTTGAGCAATTTGCAGTCAGCTAATGAATCACAAAGTTTTATCCTCCCTAACCAAGGACATCTAGGAGCAAATGGTTTACATATTCCGGATTGTCCTGAGGCAGACTGGCCTCAGTCCCAGTGTCTTTTCAATAGTGTTCTCTAAAAATATAACTAACCAGAAAAATACCCTGATCCCTCTAAACACACATTTTGATGAATCAACATATTAAAGGATACACCTGAAAAGCTAATGAATATTCTCTCAAGGCCCTCACCAGATACCTCCCTTAGGATTCTGGCTGGCCACAGGAAGATAAAAAGCCTCAAGACAGGATCCACAGTGTTCTCTCAGTAGAGCACACCTCCACCTTGTGTCTGTTTTTCCTAAATTCTAAAGGACCCCATGAGACTTGCAACTGGGGGAGCAGCAGAAAGCAGCAGCCTCTCCCATGCTTACCCCCTGAACCTGTCTCCAAGGCCCCATTTTTCACTGAATTGCTCTCTCCTATTGCTTCTTCTACCTTATGCTCTCCTATTGTTTCACTGTCCCCAGCTTTAATAAACATACTCTCAGAATCACTTGGAATAGTGTTGTGAAATATTTCCTACGCAAAGTCAAGAAGAACTCAGGCAGTACCAGTGGACCCAAGGCAGACTAGGTCCAGGCCCAGACCTCATCCAGTAACAGAAAAGACTTGGGAAAAATGAAAAACTTTGTATAACTCAAGTGGAGAATAAACAACAACAACAAAAACCTAGTGATAGATAAAATTTAAAAGGTGTTTTATTTTAAAGCCTGACTGTGGAGGGTCCAGTGTGAAGCTTCTATCGTTTTCTTGGAATTTATCAGTCACTGATGTATAGTTAACAAAATCAATGTGCCTCTCAAAACCTAGTCTAACATTTGCCCACCTATATACCCTCTTAGGCCTTACCTAGTTGGCCTCAATAAAAAATTACAATGGTTCTGAAATCAATTCCATTAATATTTTCAACACTCACATGTGATCGTTTGGGACCATAGATGTGAACTCATTTAAAAGAAAAAAAAAGGATGAACAGGAAGCAATTAGTTACACTTGAACAATCTGTTCACCTATCTTAATATTCAAGTAGCTTTTAAAGTTTTTTCTGGTCTCGAAAGTTATGCTGCAAAATAACTCTCATTTTCATCCTCAGATTCTTTTCACAAACATTTGGGATTCTATATGTAAGATATCATAGTTCAAGAGACTGCATCTTTCTTGAATTAGCTTCAATTTCAGAACCTTTAGGAATAGAATCATATTTTTTCTAAACTATTAAAATCTATTTGCAAACTTCCAGTCAAGATTGGGGCACAGGTAAACACTACAGAAAAATTAAAACAAGACCGAGAAACAAATGTCACCAACACCATCATAAACTGAGCTGTATAGAAGTCTGACAACCACGGGTTTAAAGAAGCCACACTCATCCAGATGGGTAGAAGGGGCAGAGATGTGGATATGGGCTGAGAGGCACAGAGGCGTGGAGTGGTATGGAGAGATGGCACCATGGGCAGTCCCCCATTCACATGTGGTGAATAAAATCAGGAGGAATACCTCAGGAGCAAGGGATCCCAGCCCCAGACCACAAAGCCCAGGGTTCCAGCTCCAGGGAGATAAGTCCCCATAACTTCTGCCTCTGAAAACCAGTTATCAGGATGCTCAAAGAACTCATTGAGTATGGCAACAGCATGAAAAAGACCCAGGCAGAAATGAAGGTTACATTAAGTGAAATAAAGAAAAACCTACAGGGGATTGACAGTGAAGGGGATGAAGCTGAGATTCAAAAAAGGATTTAGAAAAGAAGGAAGAAAAAGCATTCAATCAGAACAGCAAGAAGAAAAAAGAATTCAAAAGACCAAAGATAGACTAAGGAGCCTCTGGGGCATCTCCAAATGTACCAACATCCAAATCATACAGGTGCCAGAAGGAGAAGAGAAAGGGCAAGAAACTAAAAACTTATCTGAAAAATAATGAAAGAAAACTTCCTTCATTTGGTGAAGGAAATAGACATACAAGTCCAGGAAGCACAGAGTCCCAAACAAGTTGAACCCAAAGAGAACCACACCAACACATCATAATTAAAATGATGAAGGTTAAAGATAAAGAGAGAATCTTACAAGCAGCAAGAGAAAAGAGACAGTTACCTACAAAGGAGTTCCCATAAAGCTGTCAGCTGATTTCTCAAAAGAAACTTCAGGTAAGAAGGGACTGGCAAGAAGTACTCAAAGTGATGAAAAACTAGGACCTACAACTTAGATTACTCTATCCAGCAAAGCTATGATTTAGAATGTAAGGGCAGATAAAGTGTTTCCCAGACAAGGTAAAGCTAAAGGAGTTCATCATCACCATGCCACTGTTATATGAAATGTTATAAGGGACTTAATTTAAGAAAAAGAAGAACAAAACTATGAACATTAAAATAGCAACAAATTCACAGCTATCAACAACTGAATCTGAGAGAACAAACTAAGCAAACATCCAGAACAAGAACAGAATAATAAACATGGAGATCATTAGAGGGTTATCAGCTGGGAGGGGGAAGGGGGAGAAGGGGGGGAAAGGTACAGAGATTAAGAAGCATAAATTGATAGGTAGAAAATAGACAAGGGGGTGTGAGGAACAGTATAAAAATGGAGAAGCCAAAGAACTTATATGCATGACCCATGGACATGAACTAATGGTAGGGGGATGGGAATTGCTGGAGGGAATATGGTACTCTGGAGAGGGGCAAAGGGGGATAAATTGGGACAACTGTAATAGCATAATCAATAAAATATATTTTTATAAATCTATTTTGCCATAGCCCCGGCTGATGTAGCTCAGTGGATTGAGCATGGCTGGGAACCAAAGGGTCGCCAGTTCAATTCCCAGTCAGAGCACATGCCTGGGTTGCAGGCCATATCCCCAGTGGGGGTCATGTGAGATGCAACCACACATTGATGTTTCTCTCCCTCTCTTTCTCCTTTCCTTCCCTTCTCTCTAAAAATAAATAAATAAAATGTTTTTAAAAATCTGTTTTGCCATAAACAAGGTCTAAAATATATATTTTGCATGTTTGGCTATTATAATAATATGAGCATTTCAGCTTCATCAGTCAGATTTTCCAGCTGAGTAGAATTAATGATTTAATCAAACATTTTTTTAAGTGCAATGTTTAATATTCTGTATATCTATACATTTCAGCAAACATTGATATTTTAATTAACTATATGCTCTAAAGTAAAACATACATAAATACATACATACATACAAAATTTTTTAATGTATACTAGTTGTAATTTATTTTTTAATATATTTTATTGATTATGCTATTATAGTTGTCCCAGTTCCCTCCTTTATTCACTCCATCCTGAAAACCCCCTGCCGCCCGCATTTCCCCCCTTTAGTTCATGTCCATGGGTCTTATATACAC